GCCTCATCTTTCTCCCGCGGAGCGGCTGGTAGTTTCGAACCGCTGACCTTAAGGTTCGCAGCCCGATTCGTAACCACTACGCTACCAGAGCTGTTATCTTTACAGGAGCAAAATGCCTCATCTTTCTCCCGCAGAGCAGCTGGTAGTTTCGAACTGCTGACCTTGCGGTTCGCAGGCTGATTCATAACCACTACACTACCAGAGCTCCTTAAAAAAATAAACATGTGAAGTGTTTTTTATCTTAATAAGGATGCCAAGGTTTAATAAAGTTTCCCTAATGATAGCAGATATTTACTGAGGATCCATACTAAGTTTCAGTATTGGAAAGCAAAGAAGAAAGCATTCTTCCAAGGACAATTTTTATCAAAATACAGTTTGTTAGCTGTTAATGTGAGTACCAGTTTTAGACTCCAGAGGAGCTTTGCACCCTCACAATGCTCACTCCCTCTTGTCTGGACTCGGGGTAGAAAAACTCTAGTATATTTCAGGGGACTCAGGAGATGCATCTTGGCTAGGTCATATCTCATAAGGGATCATTTTGCTATTTTTATCTTTGATATGTTCTTGAAGATTCCCAAATAAGCCTGGGAGATAATATACTCTGAGCAATACTGATATAATTTTAAAATTATTCTGTGATATATGGAAAAAATTCTTTAATAAAACATTTTACCTATATAATAATCATCATAATACTCAATCTACTCATTTAAAAATTCATAAACTAAAAAATTGACATGAACCAAGTTTCAATTCTAAAATATAACTGATACATATTAAAATATTCTTTTTAAAAGGTCAACTTCATGCTTAAGAGTTAAAGAGAAATAATTCACATGAAAAATTTCATTTAGTACCATGAGTAATTTTTAAAGTGGCTCAATGTTTGCAAAATGTCAATAGTCACAGTGCTTATACACAGTGAAGAGAAATCATGCCCTGACTTGATATGCATGAGTATCGAACTGCAAATCAACAGAAACTTAATTTCCCCCTCATCTGTATCTTTCATTAAAAACCCGTACTAAAATTTTCAAGGTAAAACTGGTTTAAAATTAAGATTGTTATCTTATCTTAGAATATTCACTGAGATTATCACTCTATTCTTGCTCACTTTTCTAAATGCAAACTGGATGATGTTTTTTCATAATCTGTTTCCAAATTTGGAATCTACTAATACTACGTGAAAGAAAGTATTTGCCAGCAGAGTTTTGTTAACTGTTCTAATGTGTAATACTTACAAAATAATGTTTATGTTAAGTGCCATAGAATCAGTTCCAAGCCATGCCAACCCTGAATAGGATTTATGAGGAGTGACTGGTGAGCTTGAACCGCCGACTTTGTGGTTCAAACTGACTTTTGCAGTCCAGTACATTAACTCACAGCACTACACTAGGATAATAGCAGAACCTTTGTTGTTGTTGTTGTTGTTAAGTACCATGGAGTTGGTTCTGACTCATAGCAACCCTGTATAGAGTTTCTGAGGAGCGGCTGGTGAGTTTGAACCGCCGACGTTGTGGCTCAAAGCAACCTTGGATCCTGGAAATGAAAACACAGACTGTAATGAGAGTACATAACAGGGAGACCTAATCAATTGTTTGACTTTTATCCAGATGGATTTTTATGGAAATGAGAATACTTAATGCGTTATTGCCAGATGAGAGTAACACAGGTTGGATTACAATATTAGGTAAGTGAGACGGACAAGGATTTTAATATAATGCCAGTTTAGTTGTAGGACAATAGCAGAATAGGCACCTTAGTACAGGCATTTGCTAGTGGCAAAAAAATGGAAATGTCTGTGTTACATCTTCTGGGACCTTTGAATCTAATCTTGTCCCTAATGGGTCAACTCCAAGATGGTTCTAAATTGATGTGGCATTATTTACCATATGGATCCCAAATAGCAAAAGGCTGGAGAGAGTTATCTTTAAAAAAATAATAATCTTTA